CAGCCCACCCTTCAAATTTCAGAATTACCAGCCCCACAATCACATTAGCCAATTCCTTAAAATAAATCTCATTTTATATAATAAATAGAAAATATAATTATTAATATAAAATAATATAATTAATATAATATAATATAATATAATATAATATAATATAATATAATATAATACAATATAATATAAATCATAGGTTCTGTTTCTCTGGAGAACCCTGACCTTGCTCTTTGGATAATCCTTTCCTAAATTCAGGCTGATTGTTTACTTTTGATTATATGTTCTTTCTTCAGCCAGGCTTGGTACATTTAGGTCTCTCTAAATTTCAGTTGTATTTTTCTAGACCAGGAAAACCACTTAGGCTAGACCTCAGCCACTTGAATACAAACCACTTTTCACAGTAAATTATTTCTACAGATTGCTAATCTTGTCCATTATCAGTTGACTCCTATATCTTCACTGTCTCAAGGTATAAGGAGACCTACCAGTTCCTTTAACAAAACCTAGCCCAGGTCCTTCAAGATGGGTAATGTAGAGAGACTGTTCAGGGGTTGAGGGGCCCCACAGAGAGGCTGGACCTCAGCGAATCCCCTCTCTTTGGGGGAGCATCCGGCTGGCCTCTAGAGGGCGCTGGATTTCCTTTGTGCTGGCTGAGGAAGAATGCAGGGTCGCTGCCCCAGAGACCTGGAGAGTCACCCTTCATTGAGAACCTTGAGGGGACAGGTTTTGTTTGTCCAAGAGCCCCAGAGTTTCCTTATGGAGAATAGTCAGTCCTATCCCAAGTTCTGGGGGTGATTTATTTTGTTTCTCATTATAGAGGAAGAATCAGCAAGACGGGGTTCTTGGTCAGGTGGGGTAAAAGACAAGTGAAGAGAGAGATGCTTGTGAAAGAAAGGAGAGGCAGTAAATGTAAATGTAAATCTTTTCGGAAAAGTGTGAGGGGGAGTGAGGGCAACTGAAGTCCAAGACGCTAACCTTCGGCTCGCACTGTCACCCAGCCCCTCCCCTGGCCCTGCAATCCCCTTCCACAATAGCCAACAGCTGATGCGAAGGGCACCTCCTGCGAACCTGCCAACCCCAGGCACTGTGAGGAAGGAAAGGACCAAGACAAACCGCTGTGGTGCCCCCTTTGGGCAGCACTGGACACCTCTTGTCCCTTCTCCCACCTCCATGGCACAGTTTTGCCATACTTTTTCTACCAAACTATATTTTTGTGAGAGAGAGAGAGAGAGAGCAAGCGAGCAGGGAAGGGGGGGTGGGGGGGCAGAGATAGAAGCAGATTCCCTGCTGGGCAGGGAGCCCAATGCGGGACTCAATCCCAGAACCCTGGGATCATGACCTGAGCTGAAGGCAGACGCTTAACGACTGAGCCACCCAGGCGCCCTCATGAAATTACTAGAATTAATATACCGACTTTCTGTAATACCAAAAAAGCAGACACTTGAGCAAGGTACAGGTACAATGGTATTCAATTAAGCGTTTTGTAATAGGGCAAACTGGAAACAATCTAAGTGTCTCTCGTGAAGGGAATGGTTATATTATGATGTAGCCGTACTCCAACAATATGAGCTAATATTGCTGTACATATGTTTGCAAATGTTTAGAAAAAGTTCTGGCATAATATTCACCAAATCACTCTAGTTACTCTAGTGTAGTGGATTGGGGCAATGGGCTGTGTGTGTGTGTGTGTGTGTCTCAGGGGGTGTGGTAAATCTTTTACTTTTTACTATTATATATTTGTGTGGGTTCCTTTTGTTGTTGTTTTGAAGCCAATAAATATATTTTTATATATAGTTGGGCAGTACTGTTACAAGCAAATGTTCGGTTTTATTTGGGTTTTGGGAAACACAAGGAACAGCTAGCAGTCCAGCTCCATGTCATTTAGGGAGACAGGGCCAGGAACCATTCCCTTGGAAGCCATTTTGCTTTCTCAGGTAGCTGGAAATCTAAACATTTCTCAGACCCCAGCTCTCCAGGGACTTGATTGAAGCCATGGGATATTCTTCTCAAATTTCAGTTATTTAAGATGAATTCATGGCTTACTTCCTACTTTCTTCCTACTTACTCATTTCTAACCCTGTGTCTTCACCCACCACCCCTTCCCTTGTCTTTTGTCACTTTTTCCAAAACACCCTCCCAAACTTACCTCTAAAGCCTGAACCAAAGCTCTCTTCCCTACGAAGACTCTACCTTATAATTCCTGATACACTTCTTTTTCTTTTCTTTTTTAAGATTTTATTTATTTATTTGACAGAGAGAAACACAGCAAGAGAGGGAACACAAGCAGGGGGAGTAGGAGAGGGAGAAGCAGGCTTCCCGCGGAGCAGGGAGCCCGATGCGGGGCTCGATCCCAGGACCCCGGAACCATGACCTGAGCCAAAGGCAGACACTTAATGACTGAGCCACCCAGGCGCCCCACTTCTCTTGGTTTTCAACCATATTCATTTGCACTTCCTATTACTTTATATCTCTAGACTGTTTTTATGTGTCTACTATTAAATTATAGACCTTGAAGACAGGGTCCATTTCTTTATTATTATCCTTATTATTTCAAATATCAAAACCTAGTATGGTTTAAGATGAGTACCTAATTAAATGAGGAAATGCTGAATGCCATAATAAATATCAGGAAAAACTATTTTGAGATTTTTGATGTTCATCTCTAGATGCTACTAACTACAAAGGGAAAATGTATTCTATATATGAGATTGGCAGTTACCACCTTAACCAAGCAAACTCAGCATAATTAATTGTGAGACATTCTAACCTGATATGGCTCCAGGGTGCTATAATGTGAAGTACATAATATCATTAAGCATTCTTTGCAAAAAAAAATTTTTTTTTAAGATTTTATTTGACAGAGAGACACAGCTAGAGAAGGAACACAAGCAGGGGGAGTGGGAGAGGGAGAAGCGGAGCAGGGAGCCCAATGTGGGGCTCGATCCCAGGACCCTGGGATCATGACGCGAGCTGAAGGCAGACGATTAACGACTGAGCCACCCAGGCGCCCCTGCAAAAATGTTTAACCTGAGTCTAATAAAGCCTGTAGACCTACTTCCAGTTTAGAGGAAATGTAGGCTTATAGCACTGTCCGATAGAACTTTGTTTTTTTTTTAATAGCTTATTTATTTTTTAAGATTTTATCTATTTGACAGAGAGAGACACAGCGAGAGAGGGGACACAAGCAGGGGGAGTGGGAGAGGGAGAAGCAGGCCTCCCGCTGAGCAGGGAGGCCGATGCGGGACTCGCTGCCGGGACCCTGGGATCATGACCTGAGCCGAAGGTAGACGCTTAACGACTGAGCCGCCCAGGTGCCCCAATAGCTTATTTTTAACTTCTATTTATTAAGTAATCTCTACCCCCAACATGGAGCTTGAACTCATGACCCCAAGATCAAGAGTCACATGCTCTACCAACTGAGCAGGGGGAGGGGGTGGGTGCAGGGGGAAGGGGTTAGTTTTTTTTTTTTTAAAGATTTTATTTATTTGACAGAGAGAGAGAGAGAGACAGCAAGAGAGGAAACACTAGCAGGGGGAGCAGGAGAGGGAGAAGCAGACTCCCCACTGAGCAGGGAGCCGGATGCGGGGCTTGATCCCAGAACCCTGGGGTCGTGACCTGAGCTGAAGGCAGACACTTAACAACTGAGACACCTAGGCGCCCCAGAACTTTCTATAATGATGTAAGTGTTCTATATTTGCACCACCCAATACAGTAACCACCAACCTACTGAATTTTAATTTTCATTTAAATTAACTTAAATTTGAATTTAAAGAGCTATATGTGGCTAGTGGCTACTATATTGGACAGAAGAGCAAGTTAACCACCATGGGAAAAAATTGGACTACCGGACTTTCTACAAAGTAACAAAGTAACCAGACTGGATTTTTTTAAAAACTAATTTCAATAAAAAAAAAAAAAAAAAGGTAGTGGGGCACCTGGGTGGCTCAGTCAGTTGAGCCTCCAACTCTTGATTTTAGCTCAGGTCATGATCTCAGGGTCATGGGATCAAGCCCTGCATCAGGCTCCCCGCTGGGCATGGAACCTGCTTGGGATTCTCTCTCCCTCTGCTCCTCCCCCTTCCAAAAAAAAAAAAAAAAAGGTAGGAGAAATGTTCTTTTTTTTTTTCTTTTATTTATTTATTTGAGAGAGAGAGAATGAGAGGGGGAAGGGTCAGAGGGAGAAGCAGACTCCAGGATCATGACCTGAGCCAAAAGCAGTTGCTTAACCAACTGAGCCACCCAGGCGCCCAGAAATGTTCTATTTTAAAAGAGATTAAATGGGTGCCTGGGTGGCTCAGTTGTTAAGCGTCTGCCTTCAGCTCAGGTCATGATCCCTTGGGTCCTGGGATCAAGCCCCGCATTGGGCTCCCTGCTCAGTGGGAAGCCTGCTTCTCCCTCTCCCACTCCCCCTGCCTGTGCTCCCTCTCTTTTCTCTCTGTAAAATAGTTAAAAAATCTTTAAAAAAAAGAGAGATTAAAGAAACCTAACATCCAGGGGCACCCGGCTGGCTCAGTTGGTAGAGCATGTGATTCTCAATCTTGGGGTCGTGAGTTCAAGTCCCACATTTGGCATGGCGCCTATTAAAAAAAAAAAAAAAAAAAAGCAGGAGGTGCCTGGGTGGCTCAGTTGGGCTTAAGCGTCTGCCTTTAGCTCAAGTGGTGATCTCAGGGTCCTGGGATCAAGCCCCGCATTGGGCTCCCTGCTCAGCCGGGAGCCTGCTCTCCTTCTCCCCCTGCTTGTGCTCTTTCTTCTCACTGTTAAATAAATATAAATAAATCTTAAAAAAAAAAAAAACACACAGGGTGCCTGGGTGGCTCAGTTGGTTAAGCGACTGCCTTCGGCTCAGGTCATGATCCTGGAGTCCCGGGATCGAGTCCTGCATCGGGCTCCCTGCTCAGCAGGGAGTCTGCTTCTCCCTCTGACCCTCTTCCCTCTCGTGCTCTCTATCTCTCATTCTCTCTCTCTCAAATAAAAAAATAAAATCTTAAAAAAAAAAAAAACACAGAAAAAACAAACCTAACATCCAAATGTAATACCCAGACCTTCAATGGACCCTAGACGAAGAAAACAAATTAGGGAAATTTTAATATGACCTATATAATAGATATCATGAAATTATTAATTTTTAGGGATAATAATTTTATTACTTATACAGAGGAATGCCTTTATTAAGAGTTGCCTGCTTAAGTATTTAGGGAATGATGTATCACATCTGTAACTTACTATACAATGGCTCTGGAAGAAAAAAGTCTGTACAACTATAGATTTATCAGTCTATATAGAGAGAGTGGTAGGAGGGAGAGGAGAGAGAGAAAAGCAAAATGTTAATAATTGTTGAATCTGGGTTGTTAAGACTATACTGGTGTTTATTGTACTATTCTTTTAATTTTTCTGTAGGTTTGAAACTCTACCCCAAAAATGGAGAAAAGAAAAAGTATAGAACTAAGCAATATTGACTATTTCTGACTTTTTCCATTAATCTGTTTGTGATTTGTGAATTTTGTGTGGGCCAACATTTCCTTTAGATAAATGACAGTAAGCACCATTTATAGAAAAAAATCTAAATTATGTTAAAGACCTTAGTTTTTCCTATAAACCAATCCAAGACCATCATTATTTATTGTAGCAGAACACCTCAAAATAGTCTCCCTTGAAAGTAGTTTGAGAAGGTGAGTAGGCTCTTATAAGTAAGGGTGGAGATCTTCTGCTTCTGTTCTCAGTCCCCGACTTTGATGCCATCAGGGCCCTGCCTTGTTCTAAGCTAAGTGGGCTGTGAAACTTGGTTCCTTGGGGCGATCTCTTCCCACTCCCTGCTTTCAGAAAAAAAAAGTAACCCTCAAACCACACGGGGCAATTTCTTCCCACTCTCTGCTTTCAGAGAAAAAAGTAACCCTCAAACCACACAGGGCAATTTCTTCCCACTCTCTGCTTTCAGAGAAAAAAGTAACCCTCAAACCACACCACGGGAACTGGGAACACAAGTGGCTTGTGTCTCTCCCTGGATGTCCTGCTGGACATCCAGCAGGGCTGGATGTCCTGCTGCTTTATCCTAACTGCCCCACGAACAGCCGGGGTGACAGAAATCGTCCCCTACCCACCGTGGCCTCCAGCCCTCCTCTGGATATTACAGTTCTTCAAGAGCAAGGCCAGATTTAATCCATGTCTGCTCTCCAAGAATGAAGCCTCTAAGACTCCAGGTGGGCAAGCCGGCACTCCCACCTCCCACTCCTAGCATAAGCATTACACATCTGTTCATCTGGATCCACTCAGTTCCCCTCCTTACCCATCTAGTCTTTGATGTTTTTTTCATCCGTGCCCAAAGGAAGCATCATCACTTTATTCAGGAGATAATCAACTATAATACAGGGCTAACACTGACAAATAGCTGCACAGAGAATTATATAAATCTGCTCCATTTCCCAGAAGAGACTCAGTCACTGTAAACAAGGAAGAAAAACCAGGACGGTGCCTAACCCATTGCAGTGTTTCAAGCAAGCGTCCCCACACTCCCGGAGTGAAAGTGGGCCTCAGGTGGAGGTGATCCTTTCAGCAGGAGGAGGGGGAGGCAGCACCCGTGCGGAAGTCCGCCGCCGGAACCCCACCAGGCAGCGCTCAGCGACAGGCCTTGTTAAACTCCCGGAGGGCCCAGCGCTTGTTCTCAGCTGCCTGCTTGAGTTGAGTGTACTCTTTTACCAGCCTGTCAAACTCCTCCCCAAGGACCTCATAGGTGCTCAGGACCTGTCGGGACTTCTCCATGTCCTGTTCTTGTAGGCGAATGGCCCCCTCCAAACGGTCCCTATATGCCCAGGGAACAGAAGATACAACGTAAGGATCTGGCTCCTCAGAAAGGAGACAAGAATGTGAACACATTAAAATGAGTGGGTGTGGAGAGTGTGGGACCAGCCCTGAGTAGTTGGGCCAGGCCCTTCGGAGTTCTCACCTAATGAGACGATGAACTTCCACCTTCTCGGCAGTGTAAGTGTCAGACAAGATTTTCAGCTCCTCCATCCTGACAGAGGGGAAAAAAGAAATGCTGAGGGTCCCTGATGGCAGCAGAGTTAGGAACAGGACATAGTACCTGCCCATGGTCAAGATGTGGGCTAAGCAGAGACAGGATAAGCAAGGTCACTCTGAATTCCTGAGTAACATATCTCACAAGAAAGCACCTATTTTGGAAGGCTTTGAAATAAGACTCAAGGGGAACCCGGGTGGCTCAGTGGGTTGAGCATCCAACTCTTGATTTTGCCTGAGGGTCGTGAGACCGAGCCCCATGTTGCACTCAATGTGGGGTCTGCCTGTCCCTCTCCCTCTGCTCCTCCCCCCCACTCGCATGTCTCTAAAATAAATAAATAAAATTTAAAAATGAAATAAAATAAGACTCAAGAATGTTGAAAGGGGCGTCTGGGTGGCACAGTCAGTTGAGCGTCTGACTCTTGGTTTTGGCTCAGGTTGTGATCTCAGGGTTGTGGGATCGAGCCCCGTGTCAGGCTCCACACTCAGCACAGAGTATGCTTGGGACTCTCTCTCTGCCCCTCCCCACAGTGCACGCTTGCGCTCTCAAAATAAATAAATCTTACAAAAAAAGAAAAGAAAAGAATGTTGAACGCTTCTGGGTAATCCAATGGCTAATACTGCTGTGTGCCATTAACTGAAGACCCATAAGATGCTAGGCATGGCGGACAGGAAAGAGAGATGAGGGGGAGGGTGTGTGAGACCGAGTTCCTGAGACCCACAGGGGTCAAACAGCTCACCTCAGCTTAAGGATCATGGCACTGCACTTGATCTCCAGGTACTGGGCATTGATGCGGTCCAGCTCAGACTGAGTCTTAAGCCGGTGCTCCTGAAGAAGCCTCTGCAGCAAGGCAAGGCAGCGCAGAAGTACCTGAGCCCCCGGGAGGCAGGAAGAGGGCAAAATCAACAGTAGAAAAGGTAGATCAAAACTCCCTGGCTTCCCCAAAAGTGCCCCTGGTGCCAGGATAAAAGACACAGGAGGCTATCCCACTGCCCTGACAAACCTGGGAGTAGGTGGCACTCTTCTTCTCGAGCAGCACCGTCTGCTCCTTCTGCTGGCTCTTGGCATCCTGGCATTGCTGCTTCTCACCCACCAGGACCTCCGCCAGTTTCCACACCTTTGCTGCCTTCAAGGTTTCACTGTCGGAATCTGGGCAAAGAGACAGAGGACTAGGGGCGCCTGGGTGGCTGAGTCGGTTAAGCGTCTGCCTTTGGGTAGGTCATGATCCCAGGGTTCTGGGATCGAGCCTCGCATCGGGCTCCCTGCTCAGTGGGGAGCCTGCTTCTTCCACTCCCCCTACTTATGTATGCTCCCTCTCTCACTCTGTCTCTCTCTCTAATAAATAAATAAAATCTTAAAAAAAAAATAATAAAATAAAACAAAAGAGAGAGGACTAGACAGGAAAACCCTAATTGCTACTGCCCTTCTAAGGCCATTTTTCAGTGTGCTATCCCACATCTAGCCCTACAAATTCTTCAGGTTTGCTTCTGGTGTCCTATTAAAATGGCCCAGTTCTCGGGGTGCCTGGGTGGCTCAGTTGTTAAGCATCTGCCTTTGCTCAGGTCATGATCCCAGGGTCCTGGGATCGAGCCCCGCATCGGGCTCCCTGCTCAGTGGGAAGCCTGCTTCTCCCTCCCTCACTCCCCCTGCTTGTGTTCCTGCTGTTGCTATCTATCTCTCTGTCAAATAAATAAAATCTTTAAAAACAAAAACAAAAAAAAAAAATAATAAAATGGCCCAGTTCTCATAAAGTTCTCTTTGCTCTTACCTTTATTATTATTTTTTTATTTAAATAATCTCTACACCCAACATGGGGCTCGAACTCATGACCCTGAGATCAAGAGTCAAATGCTCTTCAGACTGAGCCAGCTTCGTGCCCCTCGCTCTTACCTTTAAGTCCAGATTTGGCCCTTAATTCTTAAGTCATAGAAATGAAGATAAAGGGAATACGTATTAGCCTGAACTTTCTTCCCTATTCCATTCTGATTCTCTGGAGACGAATGAACTCATCCTTCCCTGCAGTGAGAGGACACTTGGTACCTTGCTGAGAAAAGGGAGTTCTTGGGAGCCTGGGTGGCTCAGTTGGTTAAGCGACTGCTTTCGGCCCAGGTCATGATCCTGGAGTCCCGGGATCGAGTCCCACATCAGGCTCCCTGCTCGGCGGGGAGTCTGCTTCTCCCTCTGACCCTCTTCCCTCTCGTGCTCTCTATCTCTCATTCTCTTTCTCTCAAATAAATAAATAAAATCTTTAAAAAAAAAAAAAAAGAGAAAAGGGAGTTCTCACACAATTCCTTGCTTGTATTCTACCAGCAAGGAAGCAAACAAATAAGCATCTCCAATGCTTCCTAGCTTCCGTCCCAAATCTAAAATTCAGTGCATTCTTCTCAGAAGAGCAGACCAGGAACCCTGCAAGTTAGCTGGGAACATAGCAGAGTGCCAGCACTTGCCTGAATTGGGGTCATGGTAGCAGAGCAGGGTGAAACATTTCTTCTTGAGCTGCTCCTCCACATCCAGTGGGAGCCGAGCTCTCATCCACACAAAATCCTATAGCCGCAGAAGCAAAAAGAGAGATGCAAATAGACTATTAGAACTACGATCCAGCCAATGAGTACAGGATAATAACACTCTCACCGATAACCAGCGAAAATGCATCAAGAGATAACAGTGAGATTCATTTTTATTAGCCTATCAAATTTGCAAAGAATAAAATGATGGTCAAGACCCTATGTTGATGAAAAGGTGGGGAACTGGCAATATGTACCAATATGTTTAATGTGTATATCCTCTGACGAGTGATCCCACTTTGAGAACTCATAGTTGGGGAGATAATCATACAAAGGCAAACACACTTATGAACTAGCATGTTCCTATCAGTGAGGTTTCTAACAGCAAAAATGTAGAAACAACCATATCCATCATTAAGGTTAAGCAAACTATGCTACATCCATACAATGGAATCCATTTTTTTTTTTAGTATTTTTTTTTTTAAAGATTTTATTTATTTATTTGAGAGAGAGAGAATGAGAGATAGAGAGCACGAGAGGGAAGAGGGTCAGAGGGAGAAGCAGACTCCCTGCTGAGCAGGGAGCCCGATGTGGGACTCGATCCCGGGACTCCAGGATCATGACCTGAGCCGAAGGCAGTCGCCTAACCAACTGAGCCACCCAGGCGTCCCGGAATCCATTTTTTTTAATGTAATCTCTACTCTGCAACGTGGGGCTCAAACTCATCACCCTGAGATCAAGAGTTGCAAGCTCTACTGACTGAGCCAGCCAGGCGCCCCCATACAATGGAATCCTATCAGTGATTTAAACTGATGATACAGGGGCACCTGGGTGGCTCAGTTGGTTTCGGGTCAGGTCATGATCTCAGGGTTGTGAGATTGAGCCCCGAGTCAGCTCCATGCTCAGTAGGGAGTCTGCTTGGGATTCTCTCTCGACCTCTGCCCCTCCTCTCACTTGCACTCTCTCTCTAATAAATAAATAAATCCTTTAAAAAATAAAATAAAACAGGAGTGCCTGGGTGGCTTAGTTGTTAAGCATCTTCCTTCGGCTCAGGTCATGATCCCAGGGTTCTGGGATCGAGCCCTGCATCGGCCTCCCTGCTGGGCGGGAAGCCTGTTTCTCCCTCTCCCACTCCCCCTGCTTGTGTTCCTGCTCTCGCTGTGTCTCCCTGTCAAATAAATTTTTATAAATAAATAAAATTAAACAAAATAAACTGATGATATAAGAACACTGAGCACAGACTATGTGCCTGGCACTGTGCTAAGAGTGCTTTAGGAGCTATCATCTTATTCATATTTATTTATTGACTTGAAAAAAGTCCCAAATATATTAAGTGAAAACAGATTACATTCACTATACAAGCATGGAGGCTATAATACTATTTACGTCGAGCTGTATATAATATACTGTACTTATTCCTAGATGTAGTATTTCAGCTTTTACTTTCTTCTGTGTAACATTTTTCTTATTTGAGTTTGGCCCCCGTGAACGTGTATCATTTTTACAAAAACAAAAGTGTAACAAAAAAAAATGTTTAAATATATGGGAGAGATTAAGCCATTTCACTTCTTTGGTCCCAATATCTGCCCACCCCCAACCTCTGAGGAGGGCATGAGCTCCAGAAGGTCCGCCTTCTCCAGCCCCAGCAGTGGAGGCATTTCCCTCTCCTGGCTGGGACCTAACAGTCGTGTCAGTTCAGTCACGAGCAGCCGCTGTTCAAGGGTCTCATGAAACTGAGAGAGAATAAAAAACAAAAAGAGGTTACTATACAACTTCTCCCCCTCCACCTCCTCCATCCTCATAAACCAGTTTCTCACATATTTTCAAAGTCCTCAAACATCTTATACCCTTCAGCTGCCAGTGCCTTCTCCTGTCAATCTTTCTTTTCAAAACCTGACAACACACCCACCTCTTCCGCCATAATTACAGTCTATTTCTTCTTCTTCCTTTAACAGATTTTATTTTTAAGTAATAGCTACACCCAATGTGGGGCTTGAACTCACAACCCTGAGATTAAGAGTCACACGCCCCACCCACCGAGCCAGCCATGGGCCCCAGTCCATTTCTTCTTTGATAACCATTACCTGAAGTTCCTATTTCCCCCAGAGCATACATACAATCAGGTGAAGCCATAGTTGGCCTGGTCATTCCTGCAGCTGGTAACTACCCCCTACTGCATCTCTCCTGCTTCACCTTTTTGTCCTCAGAAGTTAAATTTGTGTCTTGTGTCTTCACATAGTAGTCCACAAGCAGCTCTTGAATGACTCTCTGTAAAATCTCAGACCTCAGCCATGTTGTCTTATGCAGTCGAACTTCCTTCCATGCCTACAAAACCAAAAAAATCCCAGGTAGGAACCTCTTTCTCTCTTGGAAGTTTTCCTTCCTCCTATCATCCCTCCTCCCAGGGCTCTTACCTGAGCCTGCTCCTTTGCCAGGGTGAGGCTTAAGCCGCTCTCATCCATGTGCTGTGAGAGACCCAGCAGCAGTTTGCTGAAGTACGGGTTCTGTAACAGGTCCTCTTCACTCAGGTTACAAGGAGGAAGCTGTTTGCTGCACACTTAATGGGATGTCCCCCATAGGGGCAAAAAAAAAAAAAAAAAAAGACAAAGAAGCTATCATATTTAATTGAGAATCACTCTTAGCTTAATACTCACTTCCAAAAAACCCCTAGGGTTTTAGTAGGGAAGTTTTCTAAATCTAATGAAATGTTCAAAAAACCTCACAAAGGGGCGCGTGGGTGGCACAGTTGTTAAGCGTCTGCCTTCGGCTCAGGTCATGATCCCAGGGTCCTGGGATCGAGCCCCGCATTGGGCTCCCTGCTCAGCCGGAAGCCTGCTTCTCCCTCTCCCACTACCCCTGCTTGTGTTCCTGCTCTCGCTGTGTCTCTCTCTGTCAAATACATAAATAGAATCGTTAAAAAAAAAAACAAAACCCACAAATAAACTCAAGGCAATACTCAGAAGTAACATGCATTTCTATATATATACAAAGATATTAACCAAGAATTAGGGAATGAGTCTCTAATGAAACTAAGAGCTTAGAAAATGGAAGTACAGTTGGAAAGTATCAGACAAATAGAATCAGGAATAAGGGACCTTTTAGTAGGGGTCACCACAGTACTCCAAATGCTTCATTCACATAGAATAACTAGAATTCTTGAGGAAGGGAAAAAAAACAAAGGTAAAGTTCCAACTTTGGAGGTGATCTAGTTGCATAAGCAAGATTGCAAGAAGGTATACTCTTAGGAGTAACTGAAAAACTGAATTAAATTCTTATTATAAACAGAGCTGGGTAACCCATGTGAATTCAGAGCAGCACAAGAATGAGAAAAAGTGCAAGAAACTGGGATCCTCTGGTTATAGCCTCAGCTCAAGGGCCTCTCTTTCCATCTCTTTTCTCACATGCTTTCTGCTGGGGTCTTCTGTTTTACTCCTACTTACCAAACAATCAAACTTTCATTCTTTGGACCATGAGAAAGCACTTTTGGAAAATAAGAACTCTTTTTTCTCCCCCTCAGGCACTGAAGGATCAACATGGCAATGTTCAAAATATAGAAGATTCAAGTTCTTAAAGGATTCAAGATATAGAAAGGGTTTGAGATAGGGAAAGAATTCAAGATACAGAAGGATTCAAGATATAGAAAGGGCTTGAGATAGGGGAAGAATTCAAGATACGTAAGGATCTGAGATTTTGGAGTACAAGATATGAGAAAATTCAAGATCCAGGTAGGAAGGAAGCCTTCACAGAGTTTGCTGGCCGTCCTTCTCTTCAGGTTATGCCTACTGATACAGCATGGAAGCGACTGGAGTTTTTAGTCTACTGCACAGGCGGGTCCTTAATGGGAGCCGGTGTAATTTGTTTTCTAATAAGAGCGTCGAAGAATCTTCATGTATCCTAGTTTCCCCAGGAACTTCGGCTTTTATGTGAGAAACCATAGTGGTGAACTTTATAAATCCTTTTTATTATAGAAAGCAAGAACCTGGCTCAGACCTCTCTGGGTAAGTCATCAAACCTCCTTCAAATGGCAGCTCTTACCTTGTTGGAGTATTTCCATCCCCTCTCCAGGTGAGCAGAAATCTCCGGATGCCATCTGATTTTCTTGAAATTCTTATGTGTGGAACCGAGTGAAAGAACAAGAAGTAAATAAATTGGGTGGCTGCTCCAAGAAAACTACCTTGGGTTCAAATTTCTGTTGTCTATAAGCTGGGGAGGAACCACAGGGATGCCTTTTACAGGGAGAGACTATATCACACACCCTGGGTCTCAAGCTCCTGTACAAGTTTTATGGGCAGACTTATAAGTGGCAAAACAATTTGCATTCTAAGCACATAAATGTTTCCACTTGTTCCAAGCTGTCAAAAATGGGAGCCTCCTTTGGAAAGAAAATTTTCCAGTTCACTAAACAGAAGGATGCTCCCCTCCCCCTCAACATTATGTCTAAGTTAAAATAGGGTTGCAGTTTTCCGGTTATGAGTGAATTGGGGAAAAGGGTGTGTGTGTGTGGCGGGGGGGGGGGGGGGGGAGTCAGTGTCTGTTTTTTTCCCCCCCAGTCAAATAACTCAGCTATCAAATTCCACAATAGTTTCTTGAGCTTCTTTAACTTGTCCTTTCATCTAAAATCTGTTGGTAGTTTTTGATCATTAACTCTCGAATCATCCTTCAGGAGTGACAAATCATTCCACACTTGAAAAACAACAACTAGTTTTCACATAACAGCATTAGTAAGGAGCACCTGGAGGAAAGACCATGACAAGAAGACTGACAGGGAGGTCAGTGCCAAAAGAGCAACGCAAAGGTGTAGTTAATGCAGCTGAGGCTGGGATGGCAGCTGTCGGGTGTTTTGCCAGAACATGGAGTACACTGAAAAGTATGACATCAACACAAAGGGGCAGTAAACATGGGCACAGTTTGCGGACTCTGAAGACTAAATTTTTCCCTTGACGTTATTTTCCTTTTTTTTTTTCCACCCACACCTCTCTGTAAGGTATCAACTCCAAAGGGCAGCTGAGTCTCCCAAAGCAGAAGACATTGAAGGTTATTATGATTTAACACTTTAAGTTCACAGAACATTTGGCTTACTCCCTCGTTTTATGAGTAGCATCAAAGCAACTACTCATTTATTTTGTAACATGGTCCAGGGGGGAACACAGATGAGGAGTCGGAATGCTAAAACTTAATTCGCAGCTCTGCAGTTCCTTTTGTGTGAATTTAAGGGAAATTTTTTTGTGTGTGTGCCAAACGTTTTTCCACCTGCAAAACGGAGATAATGAATCCTGCCTTGGCTGAGACACCAAGAATTAATAACACAATCGACTTGTCAACAAAAGCCACTAGTTAGTTAAGCCCAGTGTTTTAACAATTCTGTTTATCGTTGATCTAAGTTCTACAGGCAAATTTCGCACACGGAAATGAGGACCAACACAGATTTCCAAAAGTCAGCTGTTCTTCCCTCCCTAGGGGAACTGCCCACTTGGGTTTTCTTGGGGTGCCTTTCTTTCACCCTTTTAAAATGTTACCGGGCGTGAACGAAGGCGGCAATCAGGCTCGATTCTCCACCCTCTGCACTCAGACGTGTTAAAACGCTGCTACAGGGGACCCAAGCATTTAAATGTTCTGACTCAGGCGTCTTTTAAATTCTTAAGAGCTGTCTTTACACGCTGCACTGAACGTTAAATTGATTTTACAGGTATTTTCACAAGATGTGACCCTTACAGGGCCCGAGATGAATCAAAATGCCGAGCGGGCTCTCCGGCGCCTACTTCCCTTCTGTCTGGGCAGCCAAGGATTCCCAAGGGCGAGGGCGGCCGCGGCTGCCGGACTAACCCTCCCCGCAGCGCGGCCCGCCCACCCTCCGAGGCAAACCTGCACACCAGAGGGCAGCTGAAGCTCCCGAGGCCGTGCGGAGCGGGCTGGGACGGGCTGGCCGGCAGCGTCTATACCGCGACCCCGCCCGTGCCCGGGCTCCGGAACCTCTCACTCGGGCCGGGCGCTGGGGCTGGGGGAAGAGAGGCCCGGGAGGACCGCGCGGGAACGTCGGGGGCGGGGGGAGGGGGCGTAGGCCCAAAGTGCACGCGAGGCCTTGTGAGAGGGGAAGAGGGGCGGGGCCACGCTCGAGGCGGGAACGGCAGGCCCCGCCCCCTGCCGAGCGCGAGCCCTCGGTCCTCAACCGCCGGCGAACCCAGCCTTTAGAGCCGGGAAGGCCTCTTGGCCCGTTTTCCTGAGTACCTCCCCCTTGTTGAGGGCAAATGTTGAGAAAATGGTTTTGATTGCTAATATTTATTGAGGGCCTACAATGAGTCAGGAACTGTCAAGCAAGGGTTTACTTGCCGTTCCTCATTTAGATCTCGTGTAAATTCGTACAGCGTCCTGTGAGGAAGTCACTATCATATCCATTTTACAGAGGGGAAAATTAAGGCGCAAAGAAATTAAGTACTTGTTTGAGGTCGCAGCTCACAGCGTTTAAACCTGACCCAGTGGCCCTCTGAACCTTCCCAGAACTGCCGCCCACACTGAGCCTGTCAGTCTCCTCATTCTGGCGCAGCCCCCGGGGTCATCTTCTCTCATTTCCTGCCCCAGGCTCCTCTAACCTCTCCATTATCTCTCATCCTTCATTCAGCTGGCTTGCTCGCTCACGCTTGCTCTCTCACTTGTGCTCTTTCTTCCTCCCTCCCTCTCTGCCACCTTTTTATTTTTTCTTTAAAGATTTTATTTATTTATTTATTTGAGAGAGAGAATGAGATAGAGGGAGAGTATGAGGGGGGAGAGGGTCAGAGGGAGAAGCAGACTCCCCACTGAGCAGGGAGCCCGATGCGGGACTCGATCCCGGGACTCCAGGATCACGACCTGAGCCGAAGGCAGTCGCTCAACCAACTGAGCCACCCAGGCGCCCTCCCTGCCTCATTTTTAAACTATAGGGGCATTTATTGTTTGCTTAACAAGTCTGGAGCTGGAGGTCCCAAAGCTTTTTAGTAGCTCTGTGGTCAAGGTTCTTTGCAGTTCTCTTTGCATTTCCCTCATGAGCGTAAGAAATCCAAGGAGTACGTCCAACTCAACAGCATCCCAAGCAGGAAGGAAGGGGAAGAGCCTTTAGTTAGGGAAGAAAACCTTTCCCAGAGTACCCAGCGGACTTTCCCATATGTCTCATGGGCCAGACTGGGTCACCTGCCATCTCTAGACCAATGAGCTAGATGTCTCCATTTGCCCCGCAGATGCACATTCTGCTTTTTGACACCCTATTTAGACCAGTAAGTACTTCAGGTTTCCATAGTCTCTGACTGCTTTCAGCCAATGAGGGATCCCAGCAGGAGTTGCATGGGAGGAGGGGGACAATTACCTCTGACACCACTCCCACCCTCTTTTCAGAGGGGACTGGAATGTAGTCATTTAAGTGAATTATCTCAAAAATAATATTTGATACTAAGTAAATTACACCAAGTTTCTTCAATCTCTTGCATCAGAGAAGCTGATAGTCTGGGGTGGTGGGGAAGGAATGTCGGTTAGGCATGCAGAGCGGTAGAGAGTTTCATCTTTTCCTTTAGTACCAACTAGAGAGTTCTACTAGCAATACATAGAGGAATAGTGTGATGCAGTGCAGAAATTTTATATCCCTGGTCATCTTGTCAGCTGCCACCTTTCGTGCTTAATATTAAAGTGCTGTCATTTTCTACGGCTTTTAAAAATCATTTATGCTTCCTCAGCTCTGTAGTGCAGCATCATTAAATATCAGGCATAATGGTCCTAAAAAAATGATACTTGGAACAAAATAGCAAACATGCTTTGGTGACTCAGAGCTGATCAGAAATCGACTGAAATTTCATGTCTCATATTTGTCAAGTTTTATAAGAGGGTACTATAAGCTTTGTCTAAGCAGCTCTAAAGGACTTGGGGAATGGGAGAAAGGTGCAGAGGCCTGTCTTCAGGTAGGGTAGAGGGGAGGGGAGGGGGAGAGCCATGGGAAGCCTTGAATTGAATCAAACCTTCATATGCAATTATCTGTTCCATCTCTCTCTCTCTCTCTCTCTCTCTCTCTCTCTCTCTCTCTCTCGGTGACCTTGGGCTTCAGGTTCCTTATTTGTCAGAAGGAGGAAATAACATATTTCTAGCTCCTCCAATCTCGGAGTGTTGAGGTAATGATCAAATGAGATAATGGCTGAGAAAGTGCTTTGGAAAGACTATCAAAGTGAGGTATTTTAAAATTGACACTTACTGAGCACGTATTAAGTGCCTTAGGAGACACAAAGATAAATATGACCCAGTCCCTACCCTGAGGAAGTTCATAATCCAGTTGAGAAGATTAAGACATGCACACGTGAAAAGCAAATAGTACAAGGCAGTAAAAATGTGTCAAAAGAGCAGTTTAGATCATAAATACTTGAGAGGGCACCTGGGTGGCTCAGTTGGTTAAGCGACTGCCTTCGGCTCAGGTCATGCTCCTGGAGTCCCGGGATCGAGTCCCACATCGGGCTCCCTGCTCAGCAGGGAGTCTGCTTCTCCCTCTGACCCTCCCCCCTCTCATGTGCGCTCTCTCTCTCTCTTTCATTCTCGCTCTCTCAAATAAATAAATAAAATCTTTAAAAAAAAAAAATAAATACTTGAGAAACTTGGGCGCCTGGGTGGCTCAGTTGGTTAAGCAGCTGCCTTTGGCTCAGGTCATGACCCCAGGGTCCCGGGATCCAGTCCCAGGCTCTTAGCTCGGTAGGGAGCCTGCTTCTCCCTCTGCCTGCAGCTCCCCCTGCTTGTGCACTCTCTCTCTCTCTCTCTGACAAATAAATAGAATCTTCTAAATACATACATACATACATACATACATACATACATACTTGAGAAACTTAAGGTACAGAACCCTTTCTGAAGGAATGGATAGGAAAGACTATGAAATCAATTTTATCTTAACTGGGCCTAAAAGGAGAGAAAATTTGGATCATTTAGAAATGGAGGAAACATTCCAGCAAGCAGAGGCAGGGACAGGGAGTCCAAGCCGCCTCCTGGGTTCAAGAGGAGATGGGACTGGCTGAAGGGAAGGGGACTGTATAGGCCAGTTCTATCTAAGACTAGAACATTGAGCCTATAGACCATCTTGGCAATAAAAACTGCAGAAAAGTACTGAAAAAAAAGATCTTACAATCACACACCATCTGGTGTCCTTGAGCAAGTAAGATTTGCAAGAGAAGCCCTAGAATTCATTCTCTTTCTCTCTCCCTCTCCCTCCTTCTCTCCTTCCCCCCCTCCCAGATTAAAAAACAAAAACAAAAAACATGCACACGGGGGTACACGGCTAGTTCAAGTGGGAAGAGCCTGGGGCTCTTGATCTCAGGGTTGTGAGTTCGAGCCTCACGTTGGGTGTAGAGATTAGTAAAAAAATAAAAATAAAAATGAACAACAAAACACACACACAAAAACATTTTTATTAGGTATTTTGATACACAATCTTTAATATGTACGATTCATTAAGTTTTACCCTTAACTATACACACTATCACCACAATCAAAATAGTGAACATAGGCATTATCCCCTAAATGTTTACTTGTGCCCCTTTGTAATTCTCTCGGGCCCCTCCCAACCACTGATTTGCTGTCACTATAGATTAGTTTGCACTCTCTAGAATTTCATATAAATGGAATCAAATAAAGATGTACTCTTTTTTGTCTGGCTTCTTTCACTCAGCATAATTTTGCAATTCATACATGTTGTTGCTAGTATCAATAATCCATTTTTTTACCTCATGTCTTTTTTATTGCTGAGAAGTAGTACAGAATCCTCTTTAAAACTTTCATTTGTTTGGGTTTGTAGTTAAGGGGGTGTTTCCTTCATAACCCTAAGTTACCTATCTCGGTGCTTGGCATATGGAGGCACTTATTTGTTGCATGAGTGAATTTTGGCCACTCCCACAATGCTAATTCTTTATATAGTTTTGTTTGTTCAGTGGAATGCTTGACCTTTATGGGCCTGTCTCTTCATCAGTGTTCATCTCACATTCTGCTATGCCATATGCAAAATACAATCACTCACGTCTTCAATGTTCTGTAATGATAAAGCCAAGAACATGCTCAGAAGTAGTCCTGAGCTAGATTCCTGCAGGGAGTTGGGGGGAGGGAGGGTGTAGAAAGATAAATTAGGCGTAACTCCTGCCCACAATCTAGCTCTACTTTCTTGAAGACATTGCTCTTGATCAAGTACTCAAAAAACACTAACGTGTATGTTTTTAACTTGATGATAAATGTAAATGGGAGCCTGAGAAAAAGTTTACTTAACCTTTCAGACTTGGACATTCCTTTGCTGCATTGTTTAGAATTACAGAGAAGAATGGAGATTTGCTGAGAGCACCTGGAAGGACTCTGCCTCCCACACTCTAGCTGGGGAAACAAAATGGTGCCACAAAGAAATTTCAGGTGAGTATTTAGCACATATTCTATTTATCAAACTAATGGAAAGTTTCAAGTAGAATATGGTCTCACATGGAAAATTTAGGCTTAAATAACCAGTTTCAAAGCCGGGATGTTAAAATAGCAGGTGGACTGTGGAACCACACTTAACCAAGCAATTGTTTAGAAAATTTAAAAAAGAAAAGAAAAAGAGCCATACCACTTTGAAAGTATCCAAAGACAAGTAGCAAGAATATATTTGTATTATGGACCCAGAAACTAGTTTCAGGAATGAAATTTACAGGCAGTCCAGAGGTTTTAGAATTATTTTCAAGGGTGTTCACTGGAAAATGAAGGTATTCAGAGACACAACTATTGATGATTAAGCTAGGAAATTCCATGCCCATTGTAAGTACAATGATTTAAGGAGGAAACAAGTGGATAAAGAAAATATGTAATCAACCTATGACATCAAATGAAAATTTTAGAACAAATGTTCATAATGTGCCATTTTTCAAATTGCTTAACCATTCCAAGGGGATTTCAAACCCAGCCGCGTTGTCGCTTCAAGGGTTGCCTGTCTCTTCATGGGAACTTTTGTTATACAAACTGAAATGAGCCTGGTTTTACTTTG